GTGTGCGCATGTGTAGAGAGAGAGAGAGAAGAGAGAGAGAGAGACTGAGACTCTCCACACCCCACTGAAAGACAACCTCACAACCAGAAGTGCATCTCCAGCCACACTGTACAGACCCCTGCCCCCAGCTGTGGCCCATCTCCATGTGAATCTGGTGTCTCACTGGTCTTTTATTTAAACTTTGAGCCTAGGCTGCCTAGAAGGCCTCACCCCTAGGGAGAGAGAGAGAAGAGAGAGAGAGAGACTGAGACTCTCCACACCCCACTGAAAGACAACCTCACAACCAGAAGTGCATCTCCAGCCACACTGTACAGACCCCTGCCCCCAGCTGTGGCCCATCTCCATGTGAATCTGGTGTCTCACTGGTCTTTTATTTAAACTTTGAGCCTAGGCTGCCTAGAAGGCCTCACCCCTAGGTAGTCCTGGGACCTTGGAAACATTCTACTTCCCTAACCCCATTCTCTACTCCACTCCCTTGGTAAAACCAGTCACTGTCAGTCTCTCCTTAGGGTAGCCTCTGAGTAAGGCACCCAACCTTTCAAGCAGAAAGATAGCCAGACACCTGCACTTAGATGAGGCCTTGTATCTGTTTGGTTTTGAGCTGGTAGTTACATACATTTGGAGCCTGCCTCCTTTTCCTGAAATGTTTGTCAGAACTAAGGCCATTGCAGACCAAATATGAAAGTTTCCAGCTTCCTTTCTGGGGCCCTCTGGCCTTGTGGGCCTGATGCAGGAGGGGAAAGGGTCTTAGGAAAGTCATCACAGTAACAGAGAATCATCTTTATTAGATCCCTTCCTTCCACGGAGGAGGGAAGCTTAGCTCCTAGGGTAAATGGATGCTTTAGAGTCCTGGGACCTCTTAGCTGCCTTTATCTAAGGTCCCTGGCTCTCTTAAGCTTCCCTCCTAAGCTTTAAGAGTCCCCACAGCCACAGTTCTGTCCAAAGTGGAGTAACAGAAGCCTTCTCCCTCCACTCCATCTTGCAAGGAAGGTGAGAAGTGTTGGGTGCCTGGTGGTTCATAGCTCTTACAGTCACTAGCCTAGTGCATCATGGTCTCCTGTCTTTGTCAGAGAAGTCTTGAGGAACAATATGTCCCAGAGACAGGGGCTCAGGATGCCCTCCAAGCTCTGAGCTGGGCTGCCACCTTTCTCAAGGGCAGAAGTGTAGTGAGCTTCAGGGAGA